TATATTGAATCATAGGTCAACAGAAGAAACATCATCACCATTGATGAGTGAAAGAAGAACTGGAAATACTCAATAAACTCCAGCAAGAACCGGAAGAAAAAACCACCAGTGCAATCTCCGAGCCTTTGCAAGCATTTTAACAAATACGTGTCGAACGAGAAATGAAGAACTTGGGAACTCCATGGTCAGGCCATTCTGTATACTTAATGTGAAGAACCAGCAGTAACACAGCAAGAATAAAACAGGAACTGAGTGGAATGGGCAGGAGCTGCTGGAACAGATCTTCAGATTTCTTCACTCCAATCTTCAGCTTTCTTCATTCCAGAGTTGATTATTGAAGAAGAAGAAGAAAATGACAGAGAATAAAATGCAGACGGAAGGAGCAATTTTCTCTCTGATACCATGATAAAATCAAGGACGAAAAAATGAAATTGAAGGATAGAACACTACTATAACCAGCAGAAATTGAAATTGAAAATAAAATGGATAGAACCTGCTGGAATGGCAGGGAAGAGATGAACATTTAATTCATTCAACTTGAGAATTACAATGCATACAAGAGCTCTATTTATAGAGAAATATAGCTAACAAACTATCTAACAAGCAAAGAGGAAGAAAGATCTAGAAGAGATGCATGTGCTGGTGAACGTGAACTGAAGAACAGAAGAAGAATCTGGAAGGAAGACTTGCTGCTGGACGTATGAACTGATGCTGGACTGATCTGTTGAGATGATAATATTCCAACAAATTCACCATCTTGAAAATGAAAATCAGCTGATCACAAATAGATAAAGCCATTGTCATCTTCCACCAAAAGAGGGAGCATTTATATAGAGACATTTCATGCCATTTGAAATGATTTCTCTTCGAAATTCTTCGTAGTTTACAATAAAAATAACATTGTCAACAAAATCATCCAAGAACAACATTGAAAACACAATAAAAAACTACTAGGAATATGGGCACACAATACCTGAAAACATCATGAATAAGATTGAATATATAAACTATATTCACAAGGCAGTAGTTGGTGGCCATATAAATTACTGGGAAAATTAGAAAGACATACAATAATATGGATTCTTTTTCTTGTTCTTAAATTTTTCTCGAACAAAATTCCAACCAAAGATAAAAGGTAATTAGCACAATCGTATAATAAAATTTCCAACTAATCCAATTAACATTCATAATATTTCATATTCCCTTAGAAAGATAGGCAGACAGAAATTAGCAATACATATTATTGTTGGAAATGAATAATTATGGGGTGTTGGAATATTCCAATATTAGAACCTTCTTCTAGATCATTCTCCTATTTTTAATAAAATCCTTCTTCTAGATTCTTCTCTTGTTAGTTATGTAGATACTTTGTTAGAAATTTACTCAATANTATTTTTTATTAAATCCTTCTTCTAGATTCTTCTCTTGTTTGTTATGTAGATAGTTTGTTAGAAATTTACTCTATAAATAGAGCAATGTATTCACAATATTAGCTTGAGCTTGATGATTAATAAAGTGTTTTTCTTCTCAAGTTCCTTCAATATGTTTTCATAATGAATCTACCCTTAAATTTCTCAATATGGTATCAGAGTAAGATGCTCATTCCGTTTGCAACTCTGTCACTTTCTTCCTTCTCAACTCTGAAGAATCAATCTACGACGCTAAATTCGCTGATGAGAACTTCGTGAAGAAGCACACAGGTCTTGGAATCCTCTTCATGGCTAATGCTGGGCCTGGGACCAACGGATCTCAGTTTTTCATCTGCACCGTCAAGATTCAGTGGCTCGACGGCAAGCATTGGACAGGTGGTTGAGGGACTAGATGTTGTAAAGGCCATCAAGAAGGTCGGATCTGGTTCTGGAAGCACCTCCAAGCCTGTTGTGGTCACTGACTGTGGTCAACTCTCTCGCAGAAGATTCTCGCAGTCTTCAATGGTGGATTCTATGACAAAAATACAAGCGGTGGCATCGAAAAGGAAATGGAGCAATTTATCAAAATACGCATGTCGCATATACTTTTTCCTCATCATTGTTCGAGTCCCTCTTTTCAGGGTTCCCTATAGATGTGGCATGTGTACAACTCCATTGTAGGTTATATCTTCCCAGTTTGCCAGCGAAATCGTTCCTGTTCCTGTGGTGGAGGGCCTTTTCTATCCAAGAGCCATTGTCAATGGTCTCATCTGTAATATGACTATTCCAAGTTGGGAAAATCTGCTGAGCATCTATAATTTAACTGGCATAAAGGAAGCCTCTACAGTAACTGACCTACAGCAATTGGAGGTTCTTATTGGAAGTTACTTATTAGTGGTTGGTGCACTAATTGGCCTCTTAAAACCCGGGAGGATGAGCATGTTTGGAACTCTTCTAGTTATATGGGGCCTTGTCAAGGAAGGGATTCTAAAAAAGCCTGCAAGCACAGATCCAACAAACGCAGTATTTGTCTACGATTCCCGTAGTAGCGGCGAGCGAAATGGGAGCAGCCTAAACCGTGAAAACGGGGTTGTGGGAGAGCATTACAAGCGTCGTGCTGCCACTGGTTTGTTTTATCTTATATATCAAATATGATGTGAAAAAGGCAGTGAGAAGTGCTGCTGCTTGCCCCATTGCAAAGCCTATGCTCAGCTCTTCAAAATCTAAGCTGAAATGATAGTTGTTCACAATTTAATTGTTCCCTGCTTATTATTCCTGGTATATCAGTTGCTGAGATTTACTTTTTAGAAACATCAATCACAATTGTATTTGAGTGGACTTCTTAAATGTATCAAAAAGGGAATTGTGAGCTAGATACAGTGGAGAAACTTCATATGTAGCCTTTTTTGGTAAAAAAAAAAAATCAGAGAGCGTAGAGGGATACATTTCCTTGCTAGAGTTTATTAACATTTCCAGTTTTTCTTTTACTTATCAATGTTGATGATATTTGTCTTCAGCAAATGCCCGATTTTAGAGCCATGGATGCTCACTTATTCCGGTTGAATTATGTTGCTGTTTTTCTCTGGATTGCTTCTCCGCTGGACGTTATTGTCGACCACGACTTCTCTTGCATCTCTGATTTTCTCTCTACAATTCAAGATGTTCCATCTTGAGGGTCTCTATAAATAGAGCAATGTATTCAGAATATTAGCTTGAGCTTGATGATTAATAAAGTGTTATTCTTCTCAAGTTCTTTCAATATGTTTTCATATTGAATCTATCCTTTAATTTCTCAATTGGAAGAAAGGCAAGACAAGAAAATATAAGAATTTTTCCCAAAGATATTTGTATTCTATGGCTTGGCTCCATGAAATGTCTCAGGCACAAGGCCTTTTATAGGTGCAAAAGGTCCCCAAATTCATGTATAAAATTAATTTCCTACATTCATGAATCAAGTTTTAATTTCCAACACCCCTTCTTAAACTTGATTCCCTCTTGGTGACTCCAATCTAAGCACGCAATCTTGCAAAATCATCATTCTTCAATGGTTTGGTGAAAATGTCTGCTACTTGATCATTGGTCTTCACATAAACAAGCTCTACTTCATTGTTCTCAATGCACTTTCTAATGAAGTGAAATCTCGTATCTATGCTTGCTTCGATCATGGAACATAGGATTTTTACCCAAAGCAATAGCTGACTTGTTATCAACATAAATTGGTGTAGCTTCATTTTGGGGCATATGAAGTATCTCTAACAACTTCTGTAGCCAAATAGCATGACAAACACATGATGCATCGGAAACATATTTAGCTTCACAAGTAGAAAGAGTCACAATTGGCTGCTTCTTTGAACACCAAGTGCAAGCGATGTTACCCATGTAAAACAAAAATCCAGTTGTACTTTTTATATCATTAATATCACTAGCCCAATCACTATCGCTATAACCATGAAGCTTGAAGTTTGTAGAAGAAGAATAAGCTAACATCAAGGGTATTTTTAATGTAGCGAAGTCTCCTTTTAGCAATCTCCATGTGAGTTAAAGTTGGTGCCTCCATATAACGGCTAACAAGACTGATAAGTGTATTTTATACACTTATTCGGGGTTTAAAATGGCGATATTTGACAGTTATTTTGACAAAATATATCCTAAATTATTGTATTTTATGTTATATAGGTAAAACTCAATGGTTGAACAAGGAATGTAAAGAAAGAAGTGAAAATTGGTAGAGAATGGTAAAATTCAAAGTTTGACGAGCAAACTACAAATTCAATAGTTGATTTGGACCACAAAATGATACTTTGAAGATCTTTAAGAGACAATTGGATTGAACTAGGATTCAAAAAGGAATGGAATATGAATAAAATCAATTTCCAATCGCACAAGTTATATTCTAGATTTTTAATCGAGTATTGAAATCCATTTTTGGCATAGTAAATGTCCGAATTTGGAAAACTCTATTTCTAGAAAAGTTGTATCCCTTTGAGCTAGATTTCCAATTCACTTTAAATCGCCTCAATCGAATATCAAGAGAGAAATTTCTGGCCAAAATACGGATTGCTATGCAAAGACAAAAATCGGCGTGCGAATGGAACTCTCCTTATTCGATTGGAACTTTTTTGGAAACCAATTTGGACACGATTTTCAACCAATTTTTGACTACTACAAATACATAACAGCTGAATACATATGGAAGACCTCTCATGTACATATTATATTCCATTATTCATCAATTATTATCATCAAAGGAGGAGAATTCATAGTTTTTGTGAGAGGATTGAAGGAGATTTGCAAGAATTCAATCAAGTGAAGATTCAAATTTAATTTTTGGGTAAAGAAGAGAAGGCACAAGAGGAGATTCATCAAAAAACCATTGAAGAGATTAACGATTTCAAGATTCATCTTCATCTTTTCATATCAAAAATTCAGGTGATGTCTTTTCACTTAAATATGATTTCTTGTAATTTCGATATGTTCGACTAATTTTATACATTTATAGGATGAGATGAACCCTTGTTATGATATTTTTAGTTTTTAATTAATTATTTTGACTTTAATTTGATTTTATTTGTGGATGTTTATTATCGTTTTATCATTCTTTTCAATTATTTGATCACCAATTGAATTGTAAGTGAATTTTATTGTTATCGAGAGAGACAATAGAGTTTAAGCACATTATAATAAACATTGTAAGGTTCGATGGAGGATAGAGATATACCTATATGCTTTATATGGTTTCAATAGGTATTCTAGTACTCGTTAATGTATTTTTCATGTTTGCATCTTTCATCGAAAGATAGAAAGGTTACATGAGGGGAATAGATTTGATCGCTATCGAGAGATGCTTTCAGTTAAATTATTTCAAATTGTTAATTTAATTGTTACACTAAAAATGGAATAATAAGGGGGATTCGATATCTTAGCTATGCATCTCACATATTTGTAAAACACATTTACTTGCTTTCTTTAGTTTAATTGATAATTAAAGTATTAGTATACAAAAATCACAATATATGTTTACTATTCAATTGAAGTTGTAATTAATTTTAACTGGATCAAACACGTAGTTCTCGTGAGTTCGACACTCTATTCACTACTATATTACTTGTTCACGATCCCATTCACTTGCGAGAAATCAAACGATCAAGTTTTTGGCGCCGTTACCGTGGACTATTGTGTTTAATGAGTTTAAATTAATTTTAGCTTTAATTTGAATTGTTATTGCTTATTTATTTTTAATTTGATTACTATTTTAATTAATTTCGTTTTAACAATTTTTTTTATTGGTATTTACTTTTCTTTGTTTTTTTTTTATATCGTTTAACTAACTCCTTACAGTTTTAATCTATCTTGTGTTGATATTCTCTTTTTATACTTTTTAGATATTTATGCATGAGTCTGACATTGGTAAAGTAACAAAATTGTTGCAATGACAAATCTTTACATGGATTGTCAAGATATGCTTGGAGGATATCCAAGTTGTGAAAATTGTTACGTGGTAAATTGTACTGGGAAATGCTTGTTCTCTTCCACTAGTTTACACATGTCGAAACTTCCGAGATTTCGAAGATATTTGATGTGTAGAAAACAAGTAATTGAAAAATATAATGAAGAGTGCATGCTCGTGGGAGATTTTGTACCTGGCGATTGGGATGAGGATATCAAACTTGTGGGAGATGGTCCTCCCATATTGAACAAGAAAGTACTTGCAAAGCACATTAAAAAACTTGTCAAGTTGGATGAAAATAATATGCTTATATGAGATTGCATGTACTACGAATGATTTTAACAATGGGGGTACAATCCATTCGAAGGAGTCAACGGGACCGACTTCTCATTATCTGTGGATCTAGATTGTGGACTGATCATTCAACCTAAACATATATCAACTATGGAAGAAGGGGTTAAGAGAATGACGAGTTGATCACAACGGCATCAAATGAGGATGTACCAATCAATGAGAATGAAATCAACTCACATTTTTTCGACTTTATTGATTATCCAAAAATTGATTTTGTAATTAAGCCTCATGTAGGAATGGAAGTCTACATAGTTGAAATTGAATAGGATGAAATAGAAATGTCCTATAACATCGAAAAGGGCAAGGTAGAAATTTGGAGACTAAATGAAAAGTGGATCAAAGTCAAACGAAGAAAAATGGACAATGCATCTAAAGCCTTCTTTAGGTGCCCGTGATTCAATTGCCAAAGTCGAGCTAAAGACTATAAAAAAGTTCTTGTTGGGAGACAACCCAATTTCCTAATTCTTTTAGTTATTCTGCTTTCTGTATCGCATTGCATATAGATTTATTTTGATTTTTAGTTTGCATTAAACTTAAGCACGTTTCAATTTATAGGATCACCGTCCTATCATGTTTCCCCTTAGGCCATTGAATTTATTATTGGTTGTTTCGATTATTTGGGCTAAGTAACACATGTTCTAGGTTATTTGATCTTTATTGTTTAATTTGACAGCTATGTGCAGGAACATGACATCACAGAATACTCAAACTAACATAGACCAAAGGAAAAACATGATTAAGAAAACTGCCTAGCCGTCATACATAATTCCTCTCACCTTCAATAGAAAAATTTGGGGAGTACCTTCTTCATTTTCTTCCCTGTCCCCTCATATTCTTATTTAAGTTTTATGACATTGATAACAATGTCGATTTTAAGTTTGGGGTATTGGATCCATAAGCAACAATTATCCCCTTACTTGAGCAAAAATATCATTTAGCCCCATTAAAAAGGACATAACATACTACATCTGGTAATGTTCTGAAATCTTCTTATTTCCTCCATAGACACAATGTTCACAAGTGCATATTGGTCTATAATTGCTGAGTTCCTCCCAAATCATTTTCAATTTTGTGAAATAAACACCAATAGATAACTGGCCTTGAGAGAGATTCATCAATTCTTGCTTCAGTTGAAATATGCGAGGTCTGTTCCTCTGCTGAAACTTTTCTTTTTAATCTATCCATATGTCATGAGCTGATTCGGAGTAGATAATACTTTCAGAGATCTCTTTGGACACTGAGTTGAGTATCTATGATATGACCATATTATTGCTCCAAATCCAATTATTAAGTTGATCTGCATTATCTTGAAGTCTTGGTAGTGATCCATCGACAAAATAAAGTTTATTTTTCA